TGATAATGTAAGGGTAGCTTCAGACGAATATTTAAAAAAAAATATAAATTTTGCCGCCTTGCTATATATGTAACTTAAGTCTTTTTATAACTATATATTTAATTAAGTTACCTATTCAATATTATTAAAATATAACCTGCGTTTTAATATGTCTTCACATCAACCAGCCGGCTTTAACAAGCGCCAGGTACTTCGTTTAGTGCAACACGTACGCACTCTAATTGATTTATCTACTAAACTAATTCAGATCCAATTCTGCAATTTTTATGGTACACCTAATTTATATTAAGACTTATTTTGTAGTAAAAAAATAAATATTACAGTTTTCAAAGTTATTAAAAAATTTATTTAAAATATTTACTTCCGCTTTAACACTACAAAAATAATTCGAATTTAGAATCTAATTTAAAAAAAAAACAGTAATTTTTCTGACCAAAACACTGCATTTATTATATGATTAATAATTACTTTAAAATAAAATAAAATTCCAAATAAACCCTTCCATCAATCAGATCAATTCTTTAGTATCCGATTACTTGAAAAGTAAACCAAAAATAAAAAAAAATATTACGTGCACAAGTTACTATCCTCTAGAAGTACAAAATATATGTCTAAAATGACCGAATTTCAAAGCCTCACTTTTGTTTCGTTGTCCGCTTCACGTGAAATGCCCCATAAGCTTTTTGAACCTTTGAAGCTAAGCTTTATCGAAATAAGTAAACTATATAATAAATCAGACTTTTATTACATCAATCACACACTACAGAGCTTTGTGTATCTTAATTTAGTCGTGAATGAGAAAGTTCAGATATTTGAAAATTAGTTCCTTTATCATTGATTAAGATTAGGCTAATTTAATAAAAGATACAATACAAACGATTTAACCCCACTTCGCTCTGGTGCGTTTGTAAGTACTCTATAGTAGCTTATATTTTACTCCAGATATATCTGCGTACTAAATTCCATACAAATCTGTTCCACCGTTTCAACGTGAAGAAGTAACAAACATACAAACACATACAAACTTTCGCAATTATAATTATAGCAGTGCGATTACTTGTGATTCTCCTGAGTACTTCATAGCAACAAAAATAATGAGATATTTAGTTTTATATTATTTAGTTTATATTATACAATTTATTCTATCAAATAACGGGTTAAGTAATACATATACATATAAGTACTCAGATGACTCCATAAGCAAGTTTCCACACATTTTCGCCTTGCAGTTTAGCTTATCATATAGCGTGAAAGTGAAAGCCAACAGTCACAATCGAATAATATTTAACCCACGTGTTATGTAATAGGCGATCAACTTAATGACCGCTCTTTCTCCGAGCCAATGTTTATATTTATGACACGGAATGAGGCCGTATGAACTTGCCTCATAAATTGTTATTGTTCACATCACTTACGCTAACGATTACGTTTTTTCTAATGATAGAGTTACGTTTTAGTAGATTTTGATGAAAAGAATGCTTTGTTTTAAATGTATCAAAAAGCTTTTATCGGAACTTTACAGAGCAACCCACTATTTTCCTGTCCAACGTTTATGATTTATTTTTATTATATAGTACAATAATAATGAATACATTTATATACATACTTTTTAAGATAAATATGATAAGAACATATGTTATCTCTATATCCTTTCAGTATCTTTAAAAGAAGTTATATAATAAAGCAATAAATAATGTCTCTATTTCGGGTTGAATTTAAATCAATTATTTAATATATTGTTCGGTATTCGCTGATAGGTCTTAAGAATCTTGAACATACTTATGTATATCATAAGACTATGAAGAAAAATATCGATATATTAACTTAAATACTCATTACTTAATACACTTACTGGACCATAATATATTACGTAAGAAAAACTTTGCTACTTTTGCAAAAATATTTATTTAAAACATTAACCTGAAACTGACCGGCTTTCGTTCCAAATAAACCGTAATAGTTTCTTCCTCATATCTCATTTTTTTATCTATACATATAATAAAATTGTAACTAAGCCGAATCTGTACATTAAATATTTTTTGGAAAATCTTATTGAAATAGACATTATTATCGATACAGAGGCCGAATCTACAGTTTTTAGAATTTTTGTCTGTCTGTCTGTTACCGCATCACGGGAAAACCACTGGAGGGATTTTGATGAAATTTTGTATGATGATAGCTGGTTAACCGGGTCAACCTATAGGATACTTTTTACCGTGAGAAAATATCTCATTTCTGAGAAAAAATACAAAAACTGCAATGTAAGAGTAAACTAATATGTAGAGTCTAAGAATTTGGTTTTTGGTCATTTGAACGCGAGCGGAACAACGGGCAATGCTAGTAAAATGTATAATTAACAATATCAAAGATGACTACTATTAAAATGTGCTAACATCCCACGGAACCACATATTAAACCGAGATTAAAAGTAGCGCATGGTCCTCTGTATGTTTATATTTACGTGAACTAATTAAAACAAAGAGTCAACTATGTGAATCTTATAAAGTGTGTATATATGTATGTATTCAGCCCTTTTTAACGTCCCACTGCTGGGCACGGGCCTTCCTTCAATACGAGGGGTATCAGGCCATAGTCCACCACGCTGGCCAAGTGCGGGTTGGCGGACTTCACGTGTCTTTCGAAAACTTACTAAGTTCTCTCAGACATGCAGGTTTCCTCACGATGTTTTCCTTCACCGTAAGGCAAGTGGTAATCATGTTAGAAATGATTCGCACATGAAAATATCAGAGGTGCGAGACCCGGGATTTGAACCCGCTTCACTCGGTTTCCCAAGCGAGAGCGTTACCACTGGGCTACCACTGCCTTTTTGTTGGTAAAATATATTACTATGAGAAATAAACAATTGTTACACAAAAATGTTTTAAACAAGCAACATCGATAAGTCGACGTAGAACATCGATATATACATCGATATATAAACATTGGAAATTCCCTATGTCTTTAAGAGAATTATATTATTGAGTCATGCAATATTTACCAGGAAGGTTTTTAAATAAAAGAACAATCATTTTAATATTTACCCTTTATCAATGAATACATATAATATATATAATAAGGCAGTGGTATATATAATAAGGCAGTGGTAGCCCAGTGGTGACGCGCTCGCATGAGTAACCGAGTGAAGCGGGTTCAAATCCCGGGTCTCGCACCTCTGATATTTTTGTGCGAATCTTTTTCAACATGATTACCACTTGCCTTACGGTGAAGGAAAACATCGTGAGGATACCTGCATGTCTGAGAGAATTTAGCAAGTTTTCGAAAGACATGTGAAGTCTGCCAACCTGCACTTGGCCAGCGTGGTCGACTATGCCCCGATCCCCCTCATATTGAAGGGAGGCCCGTGCTCAGCAGTGGGACGTTCAGAAGGGCTGAATACATACATACAATGAATACATTTCCGAAACTACCTAGCTTACTACCTCTAATTAATACTTTGTATAAGAAATTATCAAGGATCAAACGATAGTATGATTGTCTACATCTTCATTCGTAGTTGACTTTTTCGCTACTCTTAGTAACTTTAAATCTCTCTTAGATTTATGTAAATATTTTAAATTTTAAATAAAATTTTCTGTTTCAGATCTTAAAAAGGTTTTATTTAGATTTTGTGTTCCGGACGTTCCGAATTCTTTACAGCATAGATAGTCGTTAAAAAGATCTACATACAAATAATATATATATATATATAGAGAGAGAGAGAGAGAGAGAGTGAAAATAAGAGTTGACTAGATAAGTATAATAAACATTGTTAGGTACTATAATGAAAAAAATACTGAGAAAGGTATACGTACGTGCAACACCTCACGACACATTGTATCCTGGAATTTAATTGAATCCAAACAAGTTAATAATATTACATCATAAACAAAACTTCTGACGGACACGTGATTAACACCTAAAATCTATATAGGTACCTACCATTCCATTTTTATTAATTAAAAGAAAACATCCTGTTATAAATAACATCACATGACTAAAAAATTAGCATACTAAATGTATTAGATCCTTTTATGAAGTATTTAAATATTAAGTAAATAATTTTAAATTGTTAGCAGACTATTATTATATATGGGTATGTACAAACGTACATTGTATTATAGTTACTCCTTCGTCCTGAAATGGATGGTCTGATTTGAATGAAATTGACCTAGAGTAATAGGTACATAAGCTACTGCTAGGCACCTAGGGAGATATCAGAGCGAAGCGAGATTACATCGCTAATCATTTCTATATATTAAAAACTAGCTTTGCCCGCGTTCAGATGACTAAAAAGAAAATTCTTAGGTTTTACATATTAGTATACTCTTATATTACAGTTTTTGTATTTTTCTCAGAAATGAGATATTTTACCGCGGTAAAATGTATCCTATATGTTGACTTAGATAACCAGCTATCACCATACCAAATTTCATCAAAATCCCTCCAGTGGTTTTTCTGTGATACGGTAACAGACAGACAGACAAAAATTCTAAAAACTGTACATTCGGCCTCTGTATCGATAATAATGTTTAATTCAATAAGATTTTCCAAAAAATATTTAATGTACAGATTCGACTTAGTTACAATTTTATTATATGTATAGATTAAACAGGTCCTAAAGTAGTATATTGAAATGTGCCCGCTCACTGTGTTAGTAGCGCATAAACCTCAGGGACGCGAAAATTAAATTTGTCACCGAATACGCAATCGGGGAAGATAGCGTCATAGTCGAACGTAACCGCGGAGTTTGATAACTAACTTTCTCTCTCGACTGTCGGCAGCACAGACTACCGTCGAAGGAGGCTACATGCAGCTTCACTTCGCGGCAGTCGCCGAGCCAGCACGTTCTATGAGAACGGCGAGCGCTCGCACGAAACGCGTATATCCTTTGAACACCGGTTACACTAAATAGTGATTTTAGTCAGTTCTGTTTTTTTGTTCTCATGATTGCTTTTTATATTAAGAAGTGAATTTTCTTCGTCGTGATTTAAGGCGACAACATGGGATTCCATAAAACGTGAGTTTTCTTGTTATTTTAACACAATTTTAAGGTAGTGCTTAAGTTAATATGTAGTATCTGAATTAAGTTTTCTTTGAACATATTTAATTTATATTGCGATATTTTTCTCTCAAATATAGGACATGTCATATCCATGTTAGTTTTAATTTTTGTTATTGTAGATATTACAAAATAAAGAAAATATATCGATTTTTTTTAACAATCGCTTAAAAGTAGTCGCGAGTAGTAACCGACCTCGACAATACAACCTTCTAGGCAAATATTTTTGGACTAAATAGGTAAGAGTTTTCCATTGTGTGTTATTTTTATCTAAAAAATATTAAATAAATAAATTTTGTTTAATAATAACCCAGCATTCTAGGACATTAACGTGATAAACTGTATGGTACAACTATTATAATAGAGATGTATATAAGGAAAAACATAAAAGTTACCAAGTCAACACTACTTATCGCTATTTTAAATAATTTTGTTATATATATATATATATATATATATATATATATATATATATAATTCGAATATTGTTAATGTTTAATTAAAAATTAGAAATTCCCAAGAGATCATAAATACTTATACTCTCCAATATCTAGTTATATAAAAGACGATGAATATTTTTTTATTTCTCGATCTATCGTAAAAATAAAAAACGTATATAAAACAACATATACAACATAATAATAGCAAGACGTAGGTAAGAGGTCGACGATAACCTGTGTCTTTAAAAGTAAAAAACGTAACAATTAAGTATATTATAGTCATTTACCGCCTTTTTTTGTAGACGATTTATTTCTGTATACAAAAATAAATATATTATATTCAATACATAACACATTACAATTTACATTGGGTAAGAATCGAGACCGAAAAATAGGTTTTAGATAACTATACAAATGCTAGATAAACATAAATGTTTTAGGTAAATCAGTGTAACATGTTACTTGTAAACATAGATTTCTTAAAATGTAAAAAATGACTAGTTTTCGTTAACGATTACGTAAAGTCATTACTGCATAATAGTAATTCAACATAAGAGACGCTAAGAACGATTATATCATCAACCGGACATTTGCCTATTTGAGAGACAATTGCAGCTTTTTAAAGTTTTTCAAAGAAGAAAATTAAGAAACTCTCGACTGGAGGACTAAACTGTTTGTACAAGACAGATAATGAATTAATTAACTTAAACGAAAAATTGTTTTTTAAGTAATATTTGATGTTTTTTTGAAAGATTGTAGGCCTCATAAGAATACGTTTAACAACTTCACCACGGGAACCGTACATTTTTTCAGGGATAAAAAGCCGCCTATGTGTTATTCTGATGTATACGCTATATTATAGTAAAGTTTAATTAAAATCCATTTAGTAATTTTTGCGTGAAAGAGTAACAAACGTCTATACATTCAGACATCCATAAATCCTCACAAACTTTCGCATTTATAATATTAGTAGGATTTTAATATTCTTAATGTATATAATTAACCAACGTACTTTAAATATTGCGCTTTAATATAAAAACTTTAGTAATAAATATTTCTTCACATTTAAATCTACACAAATCATAGTTAAATATTGCACTCCTTATTTACATCACTTAAATTGTATTCGCTAAAAATAATATAAATACTGGTATTTAGGTCGAGGTCGCATGCTTTAAGTTTCATAATACATATATTTATTGTGTGTTGGATGAAAAGGTTTACTTGAAATATTTAACAAATTATGGTAATCAATCGAATTAAAGCTTTTTTTATTGTAAAACAATTAAATCTATTATATTCATTTGTGAATATGCACGTTATGGTGGGCAATAACATAAAGAAACACATAGATATTTTTGACGATTTCCCCATACCGAACGCTTAGCTAATTAAATAAAAATATTTTCATTGCTTTAATAACAAATTCAATAGTTTGAACATCAGCAGTAGACTATCATTATCACAGTTCTTATAAACACGTGACTCTAAAATTCCAGTAACATGACCATAAATATTTATTGAAAAATTATACATATAAGGTTTTTCCTAAAAAATATGTTATCATTGTTTACCTGTAAGGAGGAAAATTCTCTTAGTAAGCAATTGCTATTTATTACCGTAACATGACTCCATAGATCACCTTGATATGAGGATTTACCACTTTAATGATTTCTGTTAAAAAAAAAATATTTTATTAATATTTTGACATTAAAATAAATTAACTTCTAGAAACAACTTCATCTAATCGAATACTAGAATACTTGAAGATATGACTTTTGCACTTGCTTAATATGACAATTTCATACATTTACAGATACGGAATGTTTGGATATTTTTAAAGTATTCGGTTATACGTGCAGATCCAACTATTTAACAGCATATTTTATTTGCTTTTAATCAATAAAACAAATCCAATGCGTTATACTACAGAAACACATTTAAACCATTTTCCGCTACCATAGAGTTGAAAATAAAACGATACCCCTCTACGTAGATGCAGCTTTAGCAAAATAATAATATTGCTATAATAATTATTATTATATTAAACAACTATGTATATTATTAATTATATTAGAATAATGAACCTATTGCTATGCTGATAAATAATTAGATGTACAAGAACTTAGACTTCCTTATAGTGCCTTGCATACACAAGTTTAGATATATTGTGTGTGTATAGTGGATATTGGCGACAGATATACATACAATTTTTTTTTTTAAATTATAACTTTTAACTGAACTTCGTAAGTCCTACCACCAGTTCCGAAAGAAGAAACCTCAGACCAGAGAATAACTGGCGAAAGCCCTGTTTACACAGTTTTAAATATAATTATCATTTCAAACTCTGTTTTAACGGTGAAGGAAAACATCGTGAAGAAACCTGCATGTCTGAGAAAACGTAGCAAGTTTTCAAAAAAAGACATGTGAAGTACGCTAACCCGCACTTCGCCAGCGTGGTGGACTACGGCCCCCTCGTATTGAAGGGAGGCCCGTGCCCAGCAGTGGAACGTTAAAAAAAGGGGCTATATATATATATATATATATATATATATATATATATATATATATATATAACTAGCGACAAACTCTGCCTCATCGCAGTATAGATAACTAATGTAATGTAATAATATTTCGATAATCTCTTCCAATATATCTGATACATAAGCAGCCTTCTCCTTGTTAGCTTAAGAATGCTTATTCAACTAGTCTCGCCGCAGATGTGGATACAGTCAATCTTGTAACAATCAGAATTGTCTCAAAAGTTAAATATTACATATATGATTAAAAATAACCTTGCACGACATATAGAAAGAAAAAAAGTACAGCAATTATTGAATTGTATTTTTGTACATATGTACATACATTTAGGTATCTATAACCAGTTGATATTTAATAAAAACAATACAGAAAGATTGGAGTGGTGTTCATGTGTTTTAGTTGCAAAACCTTTGATCTCCAGATTGGTAATCTATATATATAATAAAATTGTAACTAAGCCGAATCTGTACATTAAATATTTTTTGGAAAATCTTATTGAAATAGACATTGTTATCGATACAGACAACGAATATACAGATTTTAGAATTTTTATCTGTCTGTTTGTTAAAGCATCACGGAAAAACTGAAGGGATTTTGATGAAATTTGGTATGATGATAGCTGATTATCCGGGTATATAGGATACTTTTTACTACGGAAAAATATCTCATCTCTAAAAAATCGATACTAAACGTTAAAACGTAAGTAGGGAAGAACCAGAGCGAAGCGAGGGTGACTCGCTAGTAATAGAAATAAGACAAAAAACATAATCGATAATATAAAAAAAAATGAATTAACTCATAGCTACTAATACGTTACGTCTACGTCGAATACCAGGATGTACATATCGATTTAAATAATACCTAACCAGCTTACATATTAGATTAGGACGAAACAACATAACAAATGCAGTTTTATTAATAGTCTATACTATTATCTAATTAAAATTCTTTAATAGTATTTTATGTTCTTTTTATGCGTACAAATATTTTCAATATAAAAGAATATTGCTATAATACAATTATAAGTATAATAATTAAATAGTAGTATTCTTCTTATTAACATAAGAATTTTTACAAGTCTAGACTGACCATATTTTTGAAATTACACGTAGATAAAAGCAAGGTTAAATACGTAAGAATGTATATTATTAAATGTGTAATTAACTTTTAAAACAATGATATGAAAAAATAGAAATTTTAGACTTAAAATAAGCAAAACCTAGAGTCAATCTCTATATATAGATTAGACTGCCTCGGTGGTGTAGTGGCTAGCATGTACGGCTGCACACTCGGAGGTCCTGGGTTCGAGTCCCGGGTCGGGCCAAGTTTAGTTATTAAGTCTTTCTGTATAGTAAGTCTCAGTAACAGCCCGGAGTTGGGAAGTTGGCGGTGTTTCACCCCCGTGCCTCGGAGAGCACGTAAAGCTGTCGGTCCTGCGCCTTAACTCTCACTGGTCGTGTCGAGCAGTCGTCCCACCGGAGTATGAGAGTGACAGGAATAGAGAGTGCACCTGAGTCTGCGCGTTCACTTGTGCACTAAATATCTCCTGCGCAGTTGGCTAGTCTCAATGAGATTGGCCGCCGTGGCCAGAATCGGCTAGGAGAACATCATCATCATCATCATCATCATCATAGATTGGTAGAGTAGTTCTGCAAATCAAGGCATAACTATATTATTATAGGTTCAACAGACTTCTCCATTAAGGTTTTATATAATTAAAATTTAGGGTTATAATATTCAAGACGTGTTTACAATATAAAAATAATAGTAATTCAATGAAATGTTTTTTTCTCACGATTATATCTTTTATCTAAATTCTGCCTTGCTTATTGTTATACGTAATACATTTTGCAAATTATCTACATCTCGAAGATTTGACTATCAGCTACCAGGTCACAAACGGTGCTGATGCAATAAGCGAAATGCAGGTCACCATTAAAACTTGGTGCACGTATCCGCTGCGCCATCTTCGATGCG